CCGGCCGGGCTCTGAGATCGCCTGGGCTCCTGCATCCTTTCTTTTAAGGCTTTCGGGCTGCGGGCTCCACTGATGTGACACCCCCCCCTTCCCTTTTTCTTCCTTTTTTTTTTTTTTTTTTTTTGGAATGATGGGGATCTTTTTGGCGTATGTCGGATTTGCCTTTTCTGTGTTCTACGTGCAGCAGGGGCTTTCTTCCCAAGGTAAGTCCGGGCTCCTTGGCAAATATGCATTTGCTTGTGGCGTGCGTGTGTGCGTGTGCGTGTGTGTGTGTCTGTGTGTGTGTGTTTGTGTGTGGTGTGTCCAGGCAGATGTGAGATTCCTAGCAAGGAACAGTGGAATCATCGCGTTCTGTTAGGCATTTTTCTTTCTTTAAAGTTGATTAAACGGTAGGGATGCTAGATCTGAGAGCAAATCTATTTGGTGCCTGGCAATGAGGTGGGTCGCTCGGTGAGCAGAAACACAGGGGTGTGTGTGTGTGTGTGTGTGTGTGTGTGTGTGCCTTCTGTGTGCGTGCATACGGTAACCGCTCATGCATGTATAACCATGGCCAACACACAGGGGCTCTCCGAGGCCAGTCCTCCTGCTCCTTGGAGGCAGATGGGTTTATAGTTTCCTTTTTTCTGGGTCCGGGTGACTTCGTGTGCATGTGTGTGTCAAAGGACAGACTCCTGGGAGGATCCATAAAAGGCACCACTTGCATTCCAACGGCGCGCCTGCAGCCTGCGGAATCCAGCGGTTCGCGACCCCGCAGGCTGCGGGCCGGTTTCAGCACCACGAACAGAGCTCGCCGCCGGGCCAGAAGCCCGCATCCTCCGAGGCAGAAATGCCACCTCCTCCTCCCCCCGGAACAAAAAGTCCTTTTCCCATCAGCGTGTCTTCTTGGCGTCTCCCCTTTACTCTGAGCAGAAATGCAGTTCCCTGTCAATGGAGATCATTTGTGGGTTCATGAAATTGTGAAAAGGGACGCTGATGGTGGCTCTTCTTAAAAAGTGGGGGGCGGGTGCATTCACCCCGAGCCAGTCCTGCAGCCCCTGGGCCCCCCTCCATGCGTGTGCGCTGCCTCTGTGCACACGGCCAGCCCAGACCGCTCTGACACTACTTTTAGGGACCCGTCAGCTCTTCCCAAGGGGTCCCTCGGACAAGACAAGCACAACCAGCCGAAGCATGCACGTTCAAGACATGCCTGGGGGAGAGAGGGGGCATCTGATCTGTGTGGGTTTTGCTCTGATTCCATGCATCTTGCAAACGAGCAGGGTCGAGGTTGGTCATGGAAGGACTCGGGGAAGTGGGTGCGGGGAAATCTCTCTAGTGTCTTCACAACAGCCTTTCCTCTGAACCACCGCGTCCAGGTGTGCGGTCCTTCCATCCCGGGATGTGTGGCAATTTGCAGCACAAGGGCTTGCCGGGAACACGCGTGAAGGTGAATTTGGAGAGAAAGGAATACTTAGAGCTGAGGAAGTGTGTGGCTTGCTCCAGCACAATTGCTCGTTGCTTTTGATAAATCAGGAATGGGCATTTTGGCAGGCAGTCACGATCCCTTCTCCACCACAGGAAACATCCAGTTTCCATAGATGGTTCAGAAACTTGGGGGCAAGAGGCCATCCTCACCCACCAACGTGACAGGTGTGTCTGAGGTGCACCTCGGCAGATCTGGGGGCCACCGCAGCCTGAGGAGAGGCTCGCTGTGCTCCTAGCTGAGCAGCCTGGCTAACAGAGGGAGTTATTGGCAAGCTCGTTAGGCTTTCCATTATCCGGGCTTGATGGACAGCACAGTGATGTGGGCCGGGTATCAAAAGGAAGACAGGCAAGAGGCAAAGGAGAGGGGGTGGGGAGCTGGGCAAAGTGCAGGATGTCATAGAGGGGTATTTGTTCTGGATTTTTTTTTCAAGCCAAGAAAAATGGAGCTATCTCCTCAGGAAAGCGAGCTGGCGAGCGTGCTGTGGACCTTCTAAAAGGATGCGTTTCTGTTTTGCAGCAAAATTCACTGAGTTTCCACGCAACGTGACGGCCACCGAGGGGCAGAATGTGGAGATGTCGTGCGCCTTCCAGAGCGGCTCGGCCTCGGTGTACCTGGAGATCCAGTGGTGGTTCCTGCGGGGCCCCGAGGGCCTGGAGCCCCCGGCAGAGGTGGCCGGCGCTCAGGTAGAGGACTGGGTGGCCCTCACACCCGCTGCCTTTGCCCCACTCACTCCCTGGGACCTCTGGGTGTCCAAGCCAGGGGTGCAAGACGTGTGCCTGGGTGTCCCCTGGGAACCGCCGGCTCTCTTGGCCGGAGTGAGGCCTGGGGACGCCAGTGGGTGAGCCTCCCTGTGTCCTGGGGACTCTAATTGGAGACCAAGGAGGAAGTCTTGTGCGTTGGTCTGGTTCAGACTGGGAATGGCCTCCTCTTGGCAGTACCGGGTCTTGTCAAGGTGTGTGTGATGGCACCTCGGTGTTGATCTGTCCCGGGACACTCGCTGTCCCATCTCAGGAACCGTGGGGTGGGGTGGGGAACTCTGTGGGTGTCTCTATCGCCGGCCCCCACGTCTATGGTTGGCAGAAGAGGCTCCTGAGAGAGGAGGGAGACAGAAGAGGGAGGGGTAACAGGGAGGAGGGAGAGAGGCGGGGAGGAGGGGCCTGGGAGGAGGGGGGCGGGTGCAGAGGCCACTGGAGAAGAGGGAAGAGAAGGGGAGGGGGACCGGGTGGAAGGGGCGCGGCTGGAGGGGGGAGAGGGGGAGAAAGAAAGGGGAGAGGAAAAGGGAAAGGGGGGGAGGAGAGACAGGAAGGAAAAGGGGGTCAGAGCGCAGGTTGGAGACAGTTCAGCCCAAGAGGCAACAGACGGGTCGGGGCTGTTGGGATGAGAAGAAAATCTGTCCCTGAGACCCCGGGGAGGGGACGCAGTCCGGCAAAGACGCGGAGTCTGGTCCCCTCAAACTCCCCCCCACACCAGCTCCCGCGCCTCCCTCCCCGCC